TTTTGAGATGGAATCTCGCTCTGTCACCCAGGCTGGAGTGCAGCTGCACGATCTCAGCTCACTGCCACATCCACCTCCCAGGTTCAAATGATTCTCTTGCTTCAGCCTCCCAAATATCTAGGAATACACATGCCACCATGCCTGGCTAATTTTTGTACTTTTAATAGAGACAGGGTTTCACCGTGTTGTCAAGGCTGGTCTTGACCTCCTAAGCTCAGGCAATCTGCCCACCTCGGCCTCCCAAAGTGCTGGGATTACAGGCGTGAGCCACTGCATCAGTCAAGATAAACCTTAAAAAAAAAAAAATCAAAACATGAGTGTGTACTTAGTAGCTACTCAATCAGATACTACTACTATATATTTGTGAAATACCTTATAATTTATGAAATATTTTCCATACTTCTGTGATCTGACTCATGATTACCTTATGAAACTTTATTACTCCCATTTATATTTGAAAATATTCAGGCCCAAGAGGCTGTTATTTCCTCAGAGCCATAGCTAGGATCCATTAACTGTTCTGTGTTCTGTGTGTCCATCTGTATGTACTAACTCTCACAGAATTAATAGAGAAATGGAAGTGACATCCACATCTATGTTAATAAAGTAATAATTCTATCAAATACATTACTTTTATATTCACATTATTTCTTGCTTTGCCTAAATATTGTCATTCGTTGATTCTAGTACTTCTGATATATTTACCTGTGAAAGAAAATGATTAGAGATTAACTTAAAATGTTCAGCACAGAAGGTACATAAATGGCTGACTATATAACTTTTGCCCTGTGAAATAAAATCCAGCTTCACAAAATAAAGGTCAAAAAAAATTTTTTTTTTGTGAGACGGAGTTTCACTCTTGTTGCCCAGGCTGGAGTGCAGTGGTGCCATCTCGGCTCATTGGAACCTCCACCTCCTGAGTTCAAGCGATTCTCCTGCCTCAGCCTCCCAAGTAGCTAGGATTACAGGTGCCCGCCACCACACCCAGCTAATTTTTGTATTTTTAGTAGAGACAAGGTTTCACCTGTTGGCCAGGCTGGTCTTGAACTCCTGACCTCAGGTGATTCACCCACCTTGGCCTCCCAAAGTGCTAGGATTATAGGCATGAGCCAGCGTGCCCGGCTGGGATGGTTTTCTTGGCATATTTCTACATCTTAAGCAGAAGCCATGTTTCCTTTAATAACATATTTAATTTATTTAAGAAACACAGAAATACTTATATTTTCTGCTCATTCTTGTGTCAATTTTGGTATGTTAAATTTTTGAGAGAATTTTTCTAATTTATATAAGTTGTAAAATGCTTTGTCGTAAACATGTTGACAAAAGTTTTATATTAAATGTTTCTTGGATCTGTAGTGATAATTTCTATTTCATTTATTCTGTATACTTGGGCTTACATTGTTTGTTAAGTTTCTTAGAACATAATTTTAAGTCACAGATTTAAACATTTCTTCTTTTCTACAATAAGTATTTGGATATAAATTGCTTTCTAAGTGATTGTTTTGTTGTGTTCCACAAAATTTGATATATAGAAATGCTTTCCAATTCTCATTATTTATTCTTTGATGCATACACAACCTAGAATTATGTTGCTTTATTTCCACATATTTGGAAATATGCTAAATAGTTTATTTTATAAATTTCCAATATAATCCCCTTGTGGTGAGAAATATACTCTGAAGAATTTAAATGTTTTTAAACACGTGAATATTTGTTTTATGGCCTAGCATGTGGTTTATTTTTATGACTGTATCATATGTACTTAAAAATGGGTATTTTGCAATTGGGTTATGATGTGTTCTATAAATAGCAATTTAGTCAATGGAATGGTGGTATTGTTCAGATCATGCATGACTTTGCTAATTTTTCCATGTTCTATCAGTTGCCAAGAGAGTGGTGTGAACATTTTCTACTATGAATATAGAAGCGTCTATTTCTCCTTTAAGTAATATAAAAAATGTTAATGATTTTTATGAATTTTTGATGGATTAACCCTTTTCTTTTTAAGCAACATCACTCCATGCAACAGAGGGAGACCCTGCCTCAAAAAACAACCAACCTGCACACGTACCCCTGAACTTAAAATTGAAGGTTTTGTTTTAGTTTTTTTTTTTTTTTAAGAATTAGGTTTTATGTAAAATCATGTACTAGGAAAAGGTTGGTGGCTATATGTCTTAAGAACATGATAATACTTGAGATAAGACTTGAAGGAAAAATGAGAGAAATCTAAGCAGAGACATAGAATAAAATATTCCAGGCAGAAAGGCAGGGTTATCTGCCTTTCTCTTCCATAAATGTGGTTTAGTTCAAATCTGATCCATCAGCCCACACATTAATCAGTGGAGCATGGAAAATGGTATGTTCCCAATGAACATTACAAACTGAGGTTGACTTCCAGCCCGTTTAGAGCACAGGAACATATTTTAATCAATGCCTCTTGATAAAAGAGCTTGATTCCAGCTACTGCACTTTCTTCATCAGCTCTCCAATGATGCCTGGAGCCATGAGAATATTTTTCTTTATTTTTGCTGCTCTCATTCTTCTTGCTCAAATTTTCCCAGGTAAGAGGGAAGTTCTTTTAGAGAGAGAGATGACAGTCTGCTCAGGATCTGTCTTTTGAGAAGAAAGCTCAACTTTTACAAAGTTGAACTTTCCAAGGCAAGCCAGTCACTGAAAATCTTTTCCTGAGCTCAGGCACAAAACAATGGGACCTCATGACCCAGACCATCTCCAACCGTTAATAGTATCCAGTCAACTTCCCTAATAGCTCTGCCAAGGAGTTCAGACTTCTTTGGACCTGTAGGTCGCTTTCCTCCTTTTATAATCTGCAATGCAGGTTCAGCATCTTCCAAAGTGATTGCTTTAAAATGAAAAAAAAAAAAAAATCCAAGGCAAATGCCAAACATATTTGCTTATTTAGAAAAGTACAGCCTTTGTAGTCTAAATTAAACTAAAATTATGTTAATAGATTCTTAACTAATTTTTTTCACGTCTGAGTTGTTGGTCCAAATCTTTTATCCACAGATTATTTTAGGCTCTCTGGTTTTCACACACTGGTTGAAAATTATACCATTAAAACCACTAAACTAACATCTTACTATTCTCTTAAGTCATTGAGTCTCTCTTTGCTTAATACCATGATTCTGTTCCTAAGAAACGTTTTTGACCATACCTCCTCAAGTATCCCTTGTTCCTTCTGTTATGAAGCTTTTCCTGTTAGAGGTTCTCCATGCATCATGAAGCCCCTGTCTGCTCCTTCATGGCTCCTGAATTTCTACATTTCTTTATTACACATTCTGTCCTCAGTAGTCCTACCAAACCAACAGATATTGAATGTGTGCTAACCAATTATAAGAAATTGTTCTGTCCGCTACAATAAAGGTAGGTAAAGTGAAGAGGCAAAAATATAAGTAAAGCATGGACATTGACCCTAATTTGCTTGAAGTTATTAGTCAGTTATTTCTGTGTTGTTCAAAAATAGATTGCCTGTAATGGTAAATAGACATCTAATAAATTTAACATGTATGAGTAAGTATATCAATGAGATGGGAAGTTACACAAATAACTTTAATATGAAACAGTTTTCACAAGTTCCATAAAAGATGCAAAGTATAAAGAGAAGCCATAGATCCAGAAACTTGGTTCTAACTAGAAAATGCAGAAAGGCTTCCTGGGAAGTAGTATTTACATTGCACATTTGGAAATAGGCAAGACTAGAACTAAAGATCAGAGCCAAGGAACACTGCCCCATAAAAGTCTGAGTGACCCCATTGTTTCAGTGACCCCTTTGACTGCAGGAAAGTTTCAGTGACCCCATGAAAACCTCAGCTGTAAAATCAGTTCCCTATTTTCTGCCCTCAGCATCTTTTCATAGATGTCAGACAATGCTCCAGGATAAACGCATTTTAAATTGTCTTCTCCATCCACTTTAATCAGTACTCCAATTTATTCAGATCAATCTATAGACGTAGATGCCTAATAGTTCCCTGTCCACAAAACTCATCTCGGACATATTTTATTTACAATAATAAGCATAGTCTGGGCACAAATTAGGACCACCACCATCACCATAATCGCACGGAATCTCAGAGTTAGAAGTGAATTTAATGATCAACATAAAAGGCAACAAACATAGGTTATTAGTCCAAACTATATGAGTTTGGATCTCAGTGACAATCTTTATAAGCTGTATGTACTCTTGTGTTTTACTTTCCTTTCTATTAATGATAACAATAACAGCATTGTTTTGAAGAGGAATAAACTTGTTACATTAATTAGAAACTAACTTATTATAATAAAGAAACTTAATAATAGAGTGACTGAAAAAAGATAAAACCTTATTTCATGTAAAAGTCCAAAAATAGCTAAGTTGACTAGGTGAGGGTAGAGGGTTTGTTTTCACCAAGTTATGTTGTGATTTGGGCTGAAGGTTAACCCTGCTTTCCTAAACAGGTGACCATTTTATTGGGTCCCAAGGATGTTCTAACAGGCAGGGTTAGAAAGTATAGAACATGATCGAGATTACATAGAAGCAGCTCACATCATTTCGCTCCTTTTTCATTTTTCCAAGTTTGTTCATATGGACATATAGGAAGCTAGGAGCTGATGTCATTAACTAAGTATTCATGTGTCCAGGTAACCCAGGGGCTCTATGGCTAAAAGTCTGAAGGCAGAAATGACTGCTTTGGGACAGTTTGACAATCTTTCTATATAACTGGGCATTGCTGGGCACATACTCTATGCTATGTTAGAGTTTACTATTAATTGTCATTTGTTCTTCTACTTACTTTTTTTTTGTTCTTTGCCCTGATTCAGTATTGAATATCCTATACATGTTTATATACATATGTCAACAACTGATTGTCCAGAAGACTGATAAATTTCAGTAATCTGAAACTCACAGTATCCCAAGTTCAACTTTGGACTATTTAACAATTTCTCCTTAATTTGAGCACAAATATAAGTCCCTGCAATTTCTTTCCATTAGTCTTCGCCTTCACTTGGAACTAACAAAATATCTTCCACATGATAGTATTTCAGATATATGGCAGCTGATATGTACTGTTTCTTCCCAAAAGTTGTTATTTCCAAGAATAAACATTGCTCCTTTTGAGATTAACTGCAACTTCTTCCACTATTTTTTCCTAAGAATATATCTTACCAATTAAAAAAGATTCCTGTTTCGACATATTTTTTCTCTCTTCAACCTAATCTCTGTTATGAGTGGGGGACATTGCCTACGTCTCATTTGCCTGCCAGAGCTAAATACATGATTCCATTGGTGTTCTTTGCACAGTAAATTGAGAAGGATGAGTATCATGGTTTTTTTTTTTAATCTTTCTACCTAAAACTGAGACTCCAAAACCATATGCCAAGGCATATAATCTATTATTGGTCTGCCTATAATGCAACAATCTTTAACTTTTGCTATAAATCAAAGACTATTTGGAGACATGGAAAAAAATCTGTTGGTAAAGACTGTTTATTGAAATCAGAAAGTATTTTGTCACCATCCTTGGAAGAAACATTGTTTCTGTACAAGCTAGATATGATTTTGACATATAAAAATCTTTTCTGTTTTTTCTAATTGACTTAATAAGGACATTGATTATATTGTACCAGGGTTCTGAGCTCAGATAGAACTGTTCAGATAACATCTGATTTTTCTAATTTCTAGGTTTATAGTCTGTGTTTCTAAAAGTGACAGTAATGAGGAAGTCTGAATTTGGCCAAGGCAATGTAATTTTATGTTCCAGTTACTAATTACTAGATAACTAAAAACAAATTGCTTTCTTTACTTAGCCAGGACAGCAATTCATAGAGCACTGATTTGTAAGAGACTGGAAGGTCACTGTGAAGCTGAATGTCTTACTTTTGAAGTAAAGATTGGGGGCTGTAGAGCTGAATTAACACCATTTTGCTGCAAAAACAGAAAGAAGCACTAAAAACTAAGCACCAGCTGAAAGAATGAAAGACGTAAAGATTCTCTGGCTACGATATCAGTGTGACAAATCTCTCTGTACCTTCTCTCTCTGATCTGCAAAGTTTGGATTATCCGAAGCCGTGTCAGTCCAGTTTCCAATGCTAGAGAGACACCCTTCCTAGGCTGTGAACTTCTTCCAGGCAGGCACTATATCTTTTTGACCTTTGTACTCTCAGTTCCTGACACGGGTCCTATTAACCATTTTTTTCACTTTATAAAAAAGTAAGCCATTGAATAAATAGATAAAACAGATGGAGTGGAATGGTTGGACTGGCACTCAGGTGAATTGAGTTTTAAAGTTGTAGCTCTGTCTTTAAACAGATGTAGGACATTGGGTCCTCTGTGCAAAGATTCTGGTATCTATAATGTGAACAGCTTGAGCCTCACAGTAAAGGGAATTCCTGCTAGACGCTAACTGTGGCTGCTTCAGCATTATCACTGTCATGTACTCCTTCCTCTCTTTTATAGTTAGGAATTGTTTAGAGTGTTTTCCATTTTCTTGTTGGATCTAAAACATCAAGTTTTACAAAGAAATGCCCCTAAATCAAAATTCAAGTTGGCTGTAGATTGAGCAACGTCTGCATTCTGGCTGTTTGCAGTGAGAACTGACCAAAGCATGCTTTACTGAAGCTGCAAGTTCCCCAAAGGTCATCTAATTCAGCACCCGTATTACAAAAGAGGAGACTGAGACTCAAGAAGATTATACAGTTACTGACTTAGTCTCATTTATATTCAGACTTTGGGCTTTCTGGACTTGTCTTCTTAGCATGTTCACAAAATAGCATGTTGGAAGAGAACAGAACAGCAAAAGGCAATCCCAAAGATGGAACATTTCTCAGCAGGTTCAGATGAATAAATAAATGGAGGAAGAGACCTAAACAAACTGGGGGAGAAAAAAAAACTAGAAAAAAAATGGACACTTTCTAAAATCTGTTATGATCCCCTGATCCCTGCCCTTTCAGAGCCATAACAATGGCAAACTGAGGCTTGCCTTTTCCCTAATTTGCCAAAATTTGGAGACTCAGCTTTCAAGCAGAGGAAAGTATGTATCGCAGACCATTTCATCATAGAAGACTTACAGCACACCCTCCCAGAACAGAGGCAGCAAAACCCCTCCGCGCTGCTCTAGAAAATTTCCTTCTCTAATCAATTAAGCTGGCTTCCTGTAGAGATG